TGTGTAAAGAAGCAAAAAGGAATTAGAAGAAAATATCCAAGTTAAATACATTTTTTTACCTACCACTGTGCAAGTCCTGCTCTAGAGTGGTGCAGTTTTATTGACTTTGAGAAAAGCACGCAGTTATTCAGATAAGCAGAGATCACGTCTGTGCAGCCAGATTTTAAAACACTATTTTCACATCTGCTTTGTTGTTAAGACACCAGCACATAGCTTAGTCATGCTTATCCCAAGGCCAAATAGCAAGTTTTTTTAAAATAGAAGCATCTTTACCAAAAAAGTGTAAACGTCTTGGTCAAAATCTCACTCTTCTTGCATTTCTAAAAAAAACCAAACTAAGCTGCATCTTCTCCTGCCCTTCCCTTTCTCTGAAGATATGCTACAACCTAGAATTGTGATAAGCAATTTCTTTTGATCCCATACAATCATTTTGTTAACTAGTAAATCTAGCTGATAAACCAAACAAAACACATTTCAGAGAAGAAAGATGTCTGTGGTATGTGTTGGTTTGGTTTTTTTTATTTTTTGGAAACTTCAAAAAAGTCAACTATAAAACCCATACTTTTCTTCCACAAAGTTAGCCTCACTTTCTTAGTCAGCTATCATAATAAGTTACGTGATCAATTAGGGAAGTTAGATAACAATTTCTGATGCATTGAAAATGTTACTGGGTATATTTAAAACACTGCTATAATCACACACTACTGCTTTGCATTGTCAATGCTCATTTTAACCGTCATTTTATTTTCAAAGCTCGTTTTGCTCCTATGACTGTTAAGAAAAAGAATGCTTCTGAAAGCATATTTAGCTAACTTCTCAAATAGGACTTCCAAGAATATACACTGCCGCTCAGACACACAAAAGCTAAATCATTCACTCTAAGTCTTTCGACTTAATCTCAGACGTAGAGCAATGAATTTTTCAGATGTACTTGTAAAGATAAGGATTCACAGCAAAAGGTTCACCATAAAACGCACCTTAGTTTATCTTTCTGTAACCCCTGTAATAATCCTGCGTGTTCAACAACACACATGGGAAGTCACACATTTACCTCTAAGAGATCCTTTGCTAACGAGGCAGAACACAACATGCATCTACCAGGCTCTTCATTTGCCAGCTGGGATTGGGGGTGAAAATTTCACTGCTCAACAGTGGTGGCTACCTGAGACAGAATCTTCTCCAACACCACCTTTGCTTTGCTAGCTCGGAAACCTCTCCTTAATTTCACGTACATACACTTTGTTACTTCACTTGCCATCTTACATCAAAGAGTAATCCCTTTTATAAGAGGTCCTCAGCCCTGGCACCATGATAGACCATCATGCTAATCCTCTGCAAGATGCATGAACTTCACCACTATGTCAGAAAGGATGCGGTGATACTTCATCCCCATCTCTTCATCACCACTTACACATGGCATCAACCATTTTCTCAACCCACCACAACCCCTTCAAACACGGTCTTCTTCACAGCCACACAGATTTGAGAGCCTGCTCTGTCCCCACCATGCTTTATAAGACTTCCTTGCTCTGACAGGCCAACCCCAGCATGCCATAACCAAAGCAGAGATGCTACTGTCTATGGCCTTCTGGTTTGGGGAAGGTAGAGTCAGAGTGGGGAAGGCTCTGCAGACAGTGCTAAGCATGGAGATGGAGACATGGCAGTGCCTGATGAAGGAGAAGGCACCATCAGGACAACACCAAGCCAGTGACAGCATGTGGCGTTTTCCCTAAGAGCTGCCTGGCAAAATGCAGCTGAGGGGACAACGAGAATGACGTCAGTTTGAAAACCAAAGCAGCTTGCTGCTGGAGGCAATGGCATCAAGTAACAGTCCCTCCTGCCTTCTGTCAGGAGAAGGGATGCCTGCTGTGGGAAACCAGGGTGGCTCCAGAGCCATAAGTTAATACACAACAGCCTGCACAGATATACTCATTTAGAAAGACGATGTAAATAGATATATTGACAGGCTCCTCAGCCAAGGATGATAATTATATTGTGACATTAATTACGACAATAAGGATCTTGCATGACACATCTGAGAGGTTTTATCTTGGACACTAGTATCGCTTCAAGTGAGTCACTCCAGTAGAACAAGGGCCTGTGACCTGAAAGTAAATTTACATGCTATTCTTTCCCTCACACCTCTAGACAACTCCATGCCACTAACTCTGCACCACCAAGGGAAAAATCGGGAAGAAAACTGAAGTTAGGAGATGGGTTAACTCCAGAGCACACTACATGCCAGAAGGTTCGCTCCTCCAGCGTGCACCGACACAAGTTGTTCCACAGATTTCAGAAGCTATGGCACATGCTGAGAGCTTTTCACAGGCTGAGTGCAGAGGGGCTTTCAGATCGTGTTCACTTTAAAAGCAGAAGTAGCACCAGCACAAGCTTAAGACCCACAATGTTCTTTTTTTTTTTGTCATGGTTGGCTAGTTCCCACTACTGCAAGCAAGCATGAAACTAGCCTGTGAGAGACCACATGCTACTGAATGGCTCATCCAGAGCATGATCCTGGAGGTCTTTAGCACTTACAACTTCCAGTGAAGCCCACAGCACTCTTTTCACTACCGTGCTTGCAAATGCTCAACACCAGCCTATTAGCCTTACTAATACAGCTTCTCAGGCAGGAGATGGTTAAAGTTACTGAAATTTGGTATTTTGACAGATGCGTGTCACTTGTATGGTGTTTTTGGAAGGCTGTGGTGATGGACTCCTCCCTGTGAGGAAATAATCACACACTCAACTCAGAAATAATTAGAGGTGGGATTTCAAAAGCACTGTGCAGTGACCTAACCTGACTCCCACAAAAATCAACAGTGAAACTCTCAGTGACTTTGACCCAAACACAGTTTAGCCAGACTTGGTAACTCCTGAGGATCCCACCCTACCACCAAGTTTTGCTTCTCTTGGTTGAAGTAACAATTATAATAATAGGACCAAATATTATTCATCGTAACTGGATACCTGAAATACAACAATGACACAAGATTGTATGAGGCAGGTATTAATAAATGAGACTTCAAGGGATTTTCTTTGTAGATACTCATATGTTGATTGCTGGAATTAGCTTTTCCTCACATATACTGGGACAGACTTTCTTTTTTAAACTATTGGCAATAGGAAGATACTTAATTACTGAACCCTTCTGTCTGTGATTAGTGTTTAAAAAAAACGACCAAGGTTCATCATATTATTTGTATATTTGTGCACTGACACACTGCTGTCCTTCCTGTGCACATACCCTGCAGATAACATCTAAGAACTGTCCCAAAGGGACCTTTCAAAGCACAACGGTTTATGCCAATTGAACAAATAAATACCTACAGCATTGAGATGGGGTACTACCATGCAAGAAACAGACACATCACTATTTTATTACCTAGCAGAGTTTGTCTGCCATTCTGAAACTGCAAAGCATAAGATGTAAGAAGGCAACAATCACTGAAACAGTAACTAAAACACAGTAATCTAAATCAAAAGACTGAAGAGTCAAGCAGATGAGTTCCTAGTGACAATTTCAAGCTCCAAATCAGTACCTAGTCTGCAGTTTCACTAAATAAACTTAAATCTGGTTGCAGATGCAATATCCAAAGTTGAACCAAAATTGCATATTAATAAAAATGGGAAGACAAAACACAAATGTGATGTCAACCATATGGAAGCCTTTATTTTATTCATTTATTTTTAAATTAACTGTTTTGTTCCCTAGGAATGACAATTCTTTACAAAGCTATTCAGTGGAGGAAAGAGAACAACTCAAAGAAGTATTGTACCACTTCACCTACACACACTAAATTAGGTGCCACAGAATAGCTCCTCGTCTCAAAATGGGGTATTTGTTCAAAGCAAAGAGAAAAGCTTCCATTTATAAAAACTAATGAAAAGAGAAATATTATTTCAAATTCTACATGAAGTGATACATCCAATTTATTTATTGAATACTACTGCTAATACATTGTTATTCAAACATTTCTTAGTTGACAGCTGTCAGGTGTGTCTTATCTCTGCAAACAAGCTTTTCCCAGACTACCCATTTAAAAAAAAAAAAATTAAAATCAATCCAATCACTTTCATTAAACAGAAGTTATCTATGTTCTTAGGTAATAAAACATTCCACACATATGGGATGTGTTCAAACCCAAGCTCCTAGGTCTGAGATGCTGAACACAGCTTTCTGCTTCTCATCTTGATTCACGACTTTCCACTTGTTACTTTTAAATCATTGGCCACTTTCCTTTCTCCATCAATCACTTTTATCACCAAACACTCCTACCCTCCAACACACACACACACACACATATTAGTCTAAACTTTTTCCTTATTACTCACATGATGAACCTAACTGATGCCCTCATGAAATAAAAGCAGCACTGCCATTTCTTTTGGTGTATTTTAAAGTTGCTAAGATTACACTGAAAATCAGTAAAATAAAATATGATTTACTTTTCTGTTTTCTCTTTCAGCAGAGTAACCACCAAAACTAGATTTCTGTCTCTCTTAGGCCCTGAAACTAAATGCTACAGTTAAACCGATACAGTGAGAGCTAACAAAACTAGAGCAAGTATTCCGATTTCAAGATTGTCAAAGTAGAAACAAGCGAGAGTTAAGTAAAATCTCTAAAATTCACTGTTATTTGAGAAACGACAACACTGGCACAATTTCATCACAGATTCTAGAAATAAGTCAGTTCTGCTGCAGTGAATATGAAGGTATTAAGAACAAAAAGGTTTAGATGCACACATATATATGCAAAGGTTTTACGCTACAGCTAATAAGGTATTGGAGTAATTTTCAAATTTCAAATTAGTTTATAGGTCGATCTACTAAGAAGAAAAACTGAACAGTTATCTCACATTTGGAAAAGTCAGTAAGACTATAGAACACCACCTTCCTAATATCATTAGCTTAAAAAAAAAATCTTTGTTATTAAATCCAGTATTTCATTAAGTGCTCAGGAAAAGTCACAGTCCAGTTTCTTAAGGA